ATTTCGAGCGATCAAAATGTCAATTCTGTCATTCAGACTTCATTCAGGTCATTTCTTTATCTTCAGAAGTTTGAGAAAGCGAAAAATGGCGAAAATGTTGACTTGGACAATTTTTAAATTGAAAAAAAATGATAATATCTGAGTTATTTGCAGTAATAATAAGCCCTTTAGAAACATTAAGCTCAAATATCAGACTGATGCCTTCCAGTTTGAAGTCACTTATTCATTTTTTCAATATGAAAATTACCGTTTTCATTCTTTACCATCAATGAAAAGGAAACAAACAACAATGCACCAGCATGAATTGCTTATTTTCAGTTCACATTAATCACACAAAAGTAAAAAAAAAATAGTCGATTGATTTCATGCAGTCAAAATTCAATTGCCCTCAGATTGCTACTGCTGCTGCTGCTGCTGCCACACTGGATGAAATTCCAATGTATCTGCATGTTTTTTGTGTGTGTGTGTCTCTGTTCAGTTTCGTTCAAAAAATTGTGTCCGAGATTAAAAGTACAATTCGCCACTGAGTTTAAAGCTTGAAAATGACTCCCAGGCCTTTTTATTCCTTTGCTTATTTTGGAATTCTTCTGTGGCTGTGCGATTTATTTATTTTTTTTTCCTTTATCCGCAGTGAAACGTACTACTCTGTGGAGCTTGCATCTCAAACATTTTATCTACTTCATTCCACGTGTTTGTACGATTAAATGTTTGCATACGCATATCGTTTTGGTATGGTCTTTTTATGTACCAGCATCTAACATGAAGTAGTTTGCATCAAAACAGAAGGTTTTTTCGATTTCGAATGGTAAAGTAGGTGTAAAAGTCAAGTACACATATTCGGCCCATTATTATTTATTGAGCGTATATCTTGCCGATAAACCTATCAATTTGTGTACATTCGAGCGACGATGGCGGCGGTTCGTTTTATGATATATCAGCAAGTTGCCCGCTAAAGATTCACAACATTTACACGTTGAGTGCAATGGTGCATTCGAAAATGGTATCACTGGTAGCATTGATTTTAAGTTTTTAATTTGAATTCGAACACTTTCTATAATTCAAAGACATTGACGTTAATTTTATTTGATACCAAAATGTATATTTTCAATTCCAAGTTTGTATAAGAGAGAAATCATTCAAAGAGCCCGTCAATTGACGGCAAAATACGGAAAACCCAAAATGAAAACGAAAACAGCAGAGAGAAAAAAAACTCCACACCAAATCCGACAATATATATAGCAAAAATTGTTACAAAACACAAAACGCTCTCAGGATTTAAAATGTGAACGGATATTTGTTCATTTTAAGATAAAAGACCGAACAAAGCGGGCAAAACAGCAGAAGATGAAAAAAAAGTCAACAATAACAGCAGAAACAACAAAACAACAGAGCATTGTGAGATAAATTTGCAAAAAGAATAAGATAGAACTAGAGGTAGTAAGTGTCCGAATGGAGCAACCGAAAAGCGTATCACATCGGAAAAAGAGAGAGAGAGAGAGAGAGCGAGATCGGGCGAGCGAGCGAGCGCAATAAGACGAAAATGCGATTGGTTTGAGTGCCGTCCTTGTATAATTGGGCGTTAAGACAATTGGAATTCCTTTGAAAATAGCCGAACTGATGTAATGCTTCGTTGGTACATGGATTGTTTTGCGATTATGCCGGCATATCGTTTCAATCCGATGTGCATGAAATTTTCACTTCTCTTTGGATCGTTCTATCTCTATCGTGTTCGGTTTTTGTCTCGCTGTTGCTCTCTTTTGTCTCGTGCTCGGCCATCAAGACGTAGTAAAAGGGACAAACGAAGAGGAAAATCTCATTCAAAGCGCAAAGTAGGAAAGGCCCGAGAGGCTAGCAATGTTTTTGGTCTTATTTTGGGCTGTAAGGTGTGCGCAAATGCGCTTTTGCGCTCAACAACAATGGATTTACATGTTTGTATGTGCGCGCGGCTAAACGCGAGATAAGTCATCAAGCCAAAAAGCATGTAGAAATGTTGTTTCGGAAAAACGTTATTTGTTACTTGCCGTTCGTTCTTTCTCTGTGCTGTTCATTTTCTTTCTTCTTCTTTTTTCTGCTTTATGTTCGATCGTTTCATTTTGCACCGTGGGCTCAGCTTTTTTTATGTGTGTGTGTATGTTCAATTCTTTTTTATTCTGCTGCACTCTGTTAATAAATTTAACATCATGGGTCTTGAGTTCAATTCTATTTGCGGAACGATATATTTTTTCCCTCTCTATATGTGTTGATATTATTATTTATTGTTATGGACAAATTGTTTCAGAAGCTTGAAATTGTGATTCAGATTTTAGCGAGTTTTTGTGTTGACTCGATTTGTTGATATCGTGAGAGCGGTGTGTTTTTTTTAATGAATGGCCAGTAGACAGTACTGAGTTGGGATTCGGGTTGTCAGTCTCTTTGAATGGAGAACATAAAATATCTTGCCATATTTCAAAATGAGAGTGTTTTCCAATTTGACAGTGTCGCGTACAGTGAGGAGATATAGCAGCAAAAAAAACGAGAACCGTTTTTGATTCGCCGATTTGTATTTTTAAGTCTGCGCATGCAAAATGTTTACCTTTTGAAATGTGTGTACAAACTATTTAAGCACAACGATATGTGAGGCGGATTGTATTGGTTCTTTTTTTCATGATTTTCGAGAGAGTGAAAAAAAGATAGAGAATGAGCGAGCAAATATGCCGATCGACAGACACTCAAATCGCGCGGCATTGATAAAATGTGAATGGCGAACACGACTGCTACATTTAGAATTGACTGACGATGGGAAAATGTTGCAACCGAGTATAATATAAGGTGAAAGAAAGAGAGAAAAATATAAAAGCAAAAAGGAGTCCGCATGATTGCAGCTGGTGCTTACTTATTCGATTCAATAATCTCCCATGCAAATAAATGTCTTTCGGTTCGCTTTGTTGCGCCTCAATCGCAATTGGTATTTGCTTGTTCTCTTTTTTCCTCTTTCGATTGCATCCTTTGGCCTGGTATTTTCTGTGTATTGTTCACATACACAGATCAATTGAATACAAAAGTTCAATCCAATTCACAAATTCGATTGGCTAATCTTGGCATGTATGCAATTTTTAGCGAGATTGAGATACAGAGACGAATATCTAGCCCATTTCGATTAATATGAATATCAAATACAAGAAATCAATGTTCGTTTCCATCATATGACTTTCCACTGAAAATCGATTCATTTGATAAATGAATAAATCTCAGTGCGCGTCCATGCTACATCACCAATGTACCTTTTTTTTGCTTTATTTTACTCGAACATTTCCTCTGGCTGCTTTTTATTTCTCTTCAATTTCACACTAAATGAAGCGTTTTGTGTTTGACAAATAGCAAAAAAGCACATTCGATTTGAACGAATTTTGTATGCGGAGCACATTCGAACCTAATTGCTTGCGTTCATTTAAAATATTAAAACTGTTGTCATTTTCACGAGAAATCCAAGTCCATCTAGCATTGTCGTTCTGGGATACACTTTGAATGAGAGAACGTTTAAAATACGCACAGTATCCGTTTGTTTATATTTAAACGAAATCAACGCACACACACACACACATGCGTACAAGAATTACACGAGCGACTTGCACTTGCTCGATAAGTACATTGGTGACATTCCGATCGATGCGTAAGAATAAAATACAGGAAAACACTCATTTTAAATCACAAACACACAAGCACCAAGGAGATGTATCATTCGTGATAACTGTGAAAGTGATGCATTTGAACTTCCAGAAAATTAAAACGATCCAATTTATAATAAAAAAAGAGTAACAAGCAAAAGAAACAACTCTGCACGTCGTGTTTTTTCATTGCGGTCATGCTGAAAAAAGCCACACAATTAAATCTATCAAAGGAACAAAACAAGCTTCATGAAGTGTCTATATTTGTATCATTGGAGCAATTAAAATGAGTAATTTATGTTAACTTTGACGATATATATATATATCGATGTTTATGCTTAAGCCCATTGATTATCATCCAATACAATCAAATAAAAAATAGACATTCGTTTATCTCGTGAAGCCTTTTTCATATAAAAATACGCAGCGATTTACTTTTAAAAGTGCATTGATTGATTAATTCATTTGCTGCTTATAATGATTTTAATAATAATGAGATCTAAATTGTGCAGAATTGACAAAAAAAGTGGCACATTTTACAAGTCTTCTCATTCCGATGCAAATGCGAAGCTAACTTTAAGAAAATAGTGAACAAAAAAGCGTACGATCATTAATATTAATACAGATTATTAAATTTGCGAGTCGATTGTTTGTGTATTTTAAAACTTTTGTGTGTTCGTTTGTTTCGTGGAAAGACTCAACAGGAACCAAATCCAAAACAAATAACAAAAAATCACACAGAGTCTTCTAAGGTCTTGTGCTTTGTTTCATAATGATTATTATGTGGGCACCAACGAAGCAACAGCGGACACACTCACAAATGTCTGTAACAGCGTGCACTGAGCGCACATTCTCGTTTGCATAATTATTTGGTTATGCATTTTAAAATGGGGAATACAAATCCTTAAATGGAAAATGGAAATTAATTGTTGTTAAACAATTTTATTTTCATTGTTTTGTTCGCGCACAACACATTGATCGCATGCAATTATCATCTGTGCACAATATCGTGTTTGGCAAAAAAAATATGTACTCAGAAGCAATTTTGCCGCCGGAACATTCACTCTTTCGATCTTGTTCTCTCTCTCTCTTCTTCTCTCTTCTAAGTACGTTAGATTCTTATTTTGGAATTCACTTATTTAACAAGAAACCAAAAAGAAGAATAAAAATCGGCGCTCAGTGAATTTAACCGATATTTTAACAAACATTTTATGAATGAAAGTTTTTCTTTCCATTTTTTTTTCTGTTTCGAATAAAATTCTGAAATGGTTCTTATGTAGGTCGAAAAAGTTAATAATTTTTTTTTTTTTTTTTTAATTCAGAAATTTCAAATAGAACAATTTCATATATACATACCCTTTCATATTGATAAAATGATCTACTCGGGCCAGCACGACCATATAAATATGGATAATATGCTCCGTACATTACTTCTGGGCAGGATACTGCCATTGCGATATCACTTCACCGATTAATAAAATCAACATTTACTTTCCATCAAATAAATACCAAATATATTCGGTGTCGCAACTCAAAACTGGCAATTTATGTTTTTTTTCGATGGTTGGATTTTAGTTTTATTGCATTCACTCACACACTGTGACTTCAAATCAAGATATTTTCGACTCACAATTCAAGTTAGTCTTTTTTTTTCTCGATTTAACTGGCACTTTTTCGCTGATTTTTTTGCTGAACAAGTAAAGTTATTGTCACTGGCAAATAAAATACTTTTTTCCCTTGTTCTTATTTAATTCACTCAAGGCTCTACTGTGTAGCACAAGAAACCGAGAAAAAAGTTAATAGTGAACAGTTTTTTTTTTTGTTACTTCAATGAATATTTTTCGACTTTGTCGCTGTTAATGGTTTTTATTAAGACACTTTGCCGTAGAATTACTTCGAACGTTTTTTTTACTCCAGTGAACGGATTCTGAAAGAGATGGAAACATATTTTTATTAATAGTTTTCGATGTTGAGAGAAATTGGTTTTTGAAAACTTAAAAAATGAGGTAAATTGGTCTTAAAATCTTGGATGTAGGCTACAAATAAAAAGCTTAGACAAAACATTTTTTTAGTTCTACTCGGTTCTTTGCATTTATATTTATATGCGTATGTGTGTGTGTTTTTTTTTCTGCTGAAATTCATTTGCCTTGTCAATGTTTTTGTTGATTTCTGCCTGGAATTTTGTTTGCGTATGTGTGTATATTAGTTTTTCAGGCCGAACCGGACTTTTATCAATATAAATGCGTATATCACGTTTGGATGTTGCAACTTGTGGCACATACACACATATATATATATATATATATATATTTGCAATGCAATTCAGTGTTCAGTCTGTCGATCAATCGATGTGTTGCCACTTTTTGTAATAGCTTCATTCTAAGAATTGTGATTGCGATGAGCGAGAAAAAGACATTGACTGAAGACTAGGAATCAGCGACAGCAGCATGGAAAAAAAAAACAGAAACACAATGACACGGAACACATTAAAACAGCAAACGCATAAGCGCGTACACAGTCAGGCCAACAACAATCAAATTTAAATTACAAATGGGACTGGTGCATTTGTCATACGCACTCACGGCTAACATGAGTGATGGTTTTCACAATGCATTTATTGCTTTGTTTTAGTTCGATCGGTGGATTGTTGTTGTTGCTGCCGTTGCTATGCCACATTCAGTGTTTATTCATTGGGCTCTTTTCTCTCGCTCACGCTCTTCATTTCATTGTGAAGCAACATATGCCATGCTGCAGCATCTATCTCTATCTGATTGCATCTGCAAAATGTGCAAGACAAACAAGATTCTCTTTTGATAAATTTATTTATCATGTCGCATTCTTGCTGAGTTCGATCTTCATAAAATCCACTCAAACTGATTGATATTATATGGTGAATTTGAAAATAGGTGCGTGCACACCATTTACTTTCCGCATTTTCTTTAATTCAAATTGTCTTTTTATTCAATTGCTGTGCAATTTCTCCGTTTGAAAAGTGTAATCATTCGTATGCATCCATTTCCATGTAGATATTGAAATTTATCGTTTTTCTTCTTCTTATTCCTCTTAATTCTTTTGAATTGATTAAAATTGCACCCGATGATCCGATCGATCGACACTTGAACGGCATGAACAGCATGTGCTCATGCGATCAATCGCAAAACAAAACCACATGAGACAATCGCAAATAATTTATGCGAATTTTGACTTAAACACATTCGATCGATTCGACCACACACACGCACATGACAAGAAATGTCAAGTCCGAAGAACCGGTGAAATCGATAAAACCAAAATTGATTAACTTTATCTATGATAGAAGAAGACAAAGGAGACAACAACAAAATATTTCATTCGAAGTCGGTGGTATGTTTGCATTGCGGCCAGTCCATTAACATTTCAACTGTGATCGAAAATTGTTGTAACAACAACAGGATTCGATTCGATCGAGAGTGAACGTTCGCTCATCATCATCGTATTACCATCAATCCACGAATTATGTGAGCACACGTAAAATAAATGTTTTAAGCCACTTTTGGTGACCAGTTCACCAAACCGGCGGCTCATACAACCAAATTAAATTAAAATTGAATGACAAAAACGCATTAAATATCCCGTTCATGTGTATCAATAAATTATCGGATATCTATGGATATTGTTGTTCGTTTTTTCGCATCTTTTTTTATATATATTCATTAAAAAGACATAAAATCATAAATAACATGTGGATTGGGCTGTTTTCTTCCTCTCTCTTTTGTTCTTAGTTTTCGTAATGACTTTTTCTCTCGTTCTCGCGATCGCACCAAATCTATGCAGTAACGATTCAACAAGATGCTGCAAAAAGACCAAACGTAACTATCTTGATTGATGTCTTTGTACGCATTTATATTTATCCCATTGATTCATATCTTTTCATCATTTTTAAATCAATTTTTGTTTGGTTTTTTTTTTCTTGTATGAAGGAATTGCTATTGATTTGCTGTAACGCAAAATTATTGTGGTTTCAATACGATTGCGCACAAAATGGATATGAAGAATCCAAAGAAATGTTAAATTTATGCGAAACAAACGAACTTCCAGAAATGTTTTCAGTCTTTTACTCATTTGTTTAGATCTCATGGCACACAACAAACAAAAATTAAGTCATTTCACATTTGCATAAATTTCATTTTTACTTGATTTTATTTAAACGTGAGAATCGTTGCTGGTTTGCTAATTTTGCACCAAAAAAAAAAAAAAAACATATATACAAAATTAATATCTCTCTCAGTTCTTAATAATCGAATTCACGATCCAATCTGAATCATTCTCGATTGGTTTGTTTCGATTCGAATGTGTGTGTGTGCTTTTTTTCGCGACGATTTTTTTCATGTGTGTTCAATACCTTCGATAATAATCGATCGAAATCGTCTCTCATGTGTCACCTGTCCGGTCACGAATGTTCGTTGAATTTAAAGAGAAGCGCGCGCGAGAGAGAAAGAGAGAACAATTTAACCTGTTGAAGAATTAAAAACAAAAACGTCAAGAATGACGCCTTTTACAAAACTACCTTGTGACAAGCCTAACGCACAATTGTTCACACAAACTACAATTAATAAATAATTTATTATCATTTTGTGTCAATTCTGTTTAGTTTCGATTCAATTTTTTTTTCCTTGTTTATTTCATTTCTTTTCGTCTTTATCCGCAAACTATTATACATAACATTGCTAACCGTTTTGTGTGCCTATATTAAATTGTACTTGAATATAATCGTTAGTAATGTTAGAATTTTAACGAAAAAAAAATTAAATTAAATAAATTCACGGCTTTTCCATTTTGCGTGTTCATTGACTTGTTTTTTGTTTTGTTTTTAAATCTGTTTGATGTTTTTTTGCCATTTTATTTAGTTTTGTTGTCGATCCATTGCAGTTTTACGTTTGACCTGCAAAATGCGGCCGATAATTATTAATAATAACGTAGCTGAATGTGTCTGTACAAAGTACATAAATTAATTGCAATCAAAACCTTTAATCATATTAGATTAATGTCTTCAACACCTTCGAACGATCTTGTTTTTAAATTATGTATAAATGAGCTGGCGAGAGCACATTAAAAAAAAAAAAAAAGACTCAGCATAATGCCTCAAAGAAATGAAACAAACACGAATTAGTATGATCCTTCAATATTTTCTCATAGCGAATGTGCTCCGATGACGAACTCCGCATATCTAGAGAGAGAGAGAGGCTTATTGTTTTATTTGGAACGTGGAAGTTATAAAAATGCAGAAAACTTGTGGAATGGAAAGTAAACGGTGACAAAAACAAAATGTTCTTCATTGAATGTCTCATTGAATAGAGTTCACGTTGTCATCAATGACGATGACAACGGCCGACAATATCACATTCTTATTATTATTTTCTATCTGTAACTATTCTGCAGCCTATTCGCTAGGCTGTTTGCAATAAAAACGATTCGATTTCCAGTGTCTATGAGAGCAGTGCGACGGCTGTACCGTATGCGCTTGGGGGGTGTACGAAACAAACAAAGAAACAATTATTTGGCCTTCGTGCACACTTTTTCACAAAATGTTTATTAATTTTTGTGTACGTGAGCGTGTGATATTTATTAATTGATTGTTAATTTTCTATTCATAATTTTGTGCTACAATAACATTACGACAAAAAAAGAAATAGAGATTTATTGGTTGGGTTGATTACGTTGCGTACCATGGACATACGGTTGTATGTATTTTGTTTATTTGATTGGCTTTTTTGGTCGGTATCTGCATTAACGTTCGCCCCTGTTCGTTTCAAGTCGACTGAATTATTCCTGAGAGCTTGATTTAAAGCAGCGTTTTCTTCGTGCGATTTGATCACTATGATAACATTTCACCGATTCTGACACCGGAGATAAATTCGTGAAATGAATATACAGATCGAACAATTTAGCGCGCACTAAACACAATTATCTCTCTTTGACTTGAATTGTTCGAATTTGTCGATCTCATTTCAATGATGATTACGTTTTTTTTTCTTTTAAATATTATTTGGCCAAGTAAATAAAACAATTATTTTATTTTTCATCAATGTCAGTATTTGTACACATTCTTAGACTAAAGAACTTTTTTCGCGCAATATTACCAAATGTATATGGCGAAAGGAAAATTGTTTTTGTGGGATTGACGTCAATTTGTTTTATTGCAGAATCAAAAATGAGAAAGTATAAAGAAAAAATTGTGAAGATGTGCGACGGAAAAATCGAATTAGAAGAGAAGAAAGAAATACAATTATTTCAAGTTTCTCGCAATTTGTATCTCTATCCACTTGAAATATGCGACGAATTCGTTGTAAAGCACATATCGATTCGCAAAAAAAAAAAAAAAAAATTTCCAATGTTTGCAAAATAAAATATGACTCTTATTTCGTATTTTTGTTCTGTATTTTTCACTAAATATTTTGTGCGATGTCTTTAACACTTTGTTGCATCATCACTTCAAATACCAAATCGAATGGGTTAAACCAATAATAATAATACGATATAATAATTATATCTCCTGTTGTTGCTTCGGTTTAAATTACTTTTTGACAATATTGTTGAATTTTTCGATCATCGAATTTTTGTTAAATGCCCGCTTTTTTCCTCTTTCTCTCCTACACTCTGCTTTAAAAAAACACACTTTTGTCTATCTCACAACCGTAACTGATAACTTTTCGATAATTCTTTTTTGTTTGCCAATTTATTTTATTTTCTATTGTTCGTAGCAATGAAACGGCTTCTTGTTGGCGGGTCTTTCGGTCGTTTTACATACACATTGTTCAATTTTATTGACTCGATTGCTAATCACATACTGAATGTATATAGTTCATTTATAGTAATCGGATTTTCAAGTTCGTTGTATCCTTGATTGATATATTTAGATTTTTCCTGTCTTTCGCGCACTATTTAAAATCGATGTTCGGTATTTGCATCATTCAATCGAGTACACAATTTAAAAAGCAACACATACATTTCTTTCTTGTTTTTATTCTCTCTCTCTCTCTCTTTCTTTTTTTCGCTGAAAATTTAATAAAAACGCTACTACTTTCTGAAAACGACGGAATTTATATCGCTTAAACCCACAAGAAGAGAAGAAAAAACAAAACGAAGTTCAGTTCATCGATTTCGATGTGACGTGATCAACAGAGTGTTCGTTTAGAGACTGTTGTTGCTGTTTCTGTTTTCATTTTAATTTGTCGTGGTCTCTGTATTCTGTCTGTTACTTAAAAATAACACATACACACACACACACACGCGAATCGAACGCATCGGTAATTCAATGCATTTGTTTGGGTGAAAATGACAAGCAAACGAACAAACGAACGAGTAAGCGAGCGAATGAGTGTGCGTGTGTACATGTATGAGTGTGTGTATGCCAACATTTTCAAATGAGCGCACGGTTTCGATCGAGAAGCACGACGACCAAACCGAACAACGGAACGAAACAAAACACTCGCAACGCGAACAAGACCGCTTACTTAACACAAACACATTTTATGAACATGAATACAATGCATCACTTAACTCGAATCATACAACACCCGAATTTTGAATACCAAACATTGTATCCGTATGTTCCGTTCATTGCCGGTTGATTTCTCTCTCTATATTTTTTAAACATTTCATCTTAAAACCGGAAAAGTATTCGATTAATTAATATTAGTAAGATCGAGAAAATATGTATAAAATAATTAATTTATCAGAAATCTTTCGCATTTCAAAAAAGAGGATCAATTTTCTTTTGTTTGAAAACAAAAATATAATTTTTTTAACTTCAAATCAATTTCCGGTCTCAAATTATGTCTATAAACATATAATAACCGGTCTCTATTTGGAATCATCACCGGACATGAATTTCTAAGTTCTCATTTGATTGCAACACAAAAACAATATATTCCTTTTCTGCCATACACATACTGTGCTCTAGTAATCGTGTGTCTCTTTTGCAAACAATTCCGACGAATCGATTTGATTGGAGTTTATTTGTGTGCGTATCTGAAAATTACATCCATCATAACACCAAAAAGAGGGTTTATACACGCACTCAAATTGCGTAGTCTACAAGATAGAGATGATTATACTATGGAAATCAGGGACCGGTTCGCGCATATTTCTATGCCTGATAGCTATGCTAAGCATAGCGGAGACGCAAGCTGCAATGCACCCGTCGCCATTCGATTCGAGCTATATTGTATGCGTACGTCTCTCAATGCACGGTCGCCTGCATACATGTTCGTTGTATTGTTCATATAGAGTGGACGGCGATGCGTTGGTTGCGTTTGCGGCTATGCTTGGCATATTTATGCTACCTAGCGTATTTAGGCAAGCATAGAAATATGCGCGAACCGGTCCTTGATGGAAATCAAAGAAAAATGAAGAAATATTTTTTGTCCATTCCATTTCGAGAGATAAACCACATGTATATGTGTGCAATGTGACAATTATAGCAAAGAAATTTGTCGTTTTTTTTTCGTTAGCCACAATTAATTCCAAATTAATCCATCCATGTAAAAAAAGAAATAGATAATGAGCAGTGCTGAGGGAATCGCAACACGTGTAAATCGATCGAATGTATATTTTTGTGTGAGATTTTTCACATTCAAGTATAATGGAGCAGAGGATATAAAAAATTAAATAAGATTCACATTGAATTTGCTATTTTTCTTCATTTCCCAAAAAAAATGTATTTGATTAATCTGACACGCGCACAGCTCAAGAATCATGTGTGTATAGTGTGATATTGTTGTATCGTGGACATCGTCAACCAAAGAAAATTCAAACGCGCGCGTTTACATTGTAGGCAATCAAGAAAGAGGTGGTTTCACAGCCGACGGCTGACAATAATATAATTATGTGTTTTGTTGTGTACATATAGAAAAAAACAACGATAAATTTCAACAGTATACGTGTGTTGCGTGTATGTGTACGCCAGTGCTTATAATCATACTGTGCAAAATTGCGATATGATGAACCAGTCAGCCACAGTGTGCCCTGATCGTTGCACGCAAAATGGGAGAGGAACGTAAAGAAAGAGATACAATCAAAAGAATTGACTAAAGAACGTTGCGCCCGTTGTAAAGTGAAATGAAAGAAAAGAGGGCTGGATCTTGATGCTCCGCCTCATCAGTGCTGCCGTCGTCGTCATCGTAGCCGTTTATTTGGCTTTCTGCTTCGAACATAATTTATGCCTCTCGTTCCATCTCCCCCGGTTACGTCGTGCATGTATGCTTGTATTCGTGCGCGCGCGTCTATATATGTGTGTGTGTGTGTCTGTCTGTCTGTATGAGTTTATGTGTGCGTGTTTTACACCATCAAAACTGAGTCAGAGTCGATGGTGTTGGATGATGCGCGAGCACACACTTCTCTCATTATTTATATGCGGCAAAATGTATGAAATTTATTTATGATTTAAGCATGTCGCATGAAAGCCATTCATTACGTGTATTGGTTCGAGCCTTCAACGATTTTGTATGCAATGTTCAGTTTGGATCCGAAAAAGATAGACATTTTCTATTTATCTCTATTTATTGATGTCGTTGTGTGTGTGTGCGTGTGAGTCTGTAAAAGATTTTCGAAAGGACTTTTCCAAATGTGGAAAATTGTACAAACACTCAAGCAAACACAAAACTTGTATATGCAAAACCCACTCACATACAAAGTGTTTGTTGAGTCGGAGGTTCATCGCGATTTTCGGTTGGTTCAATGAATTTTCGGCGTGTGTACTTGTATCCGTCTTTTAGATTGGTGCGATTGTATGTCGCGCACATTCATTTCCCCGACATGTTTCGAGTCGAAATAATCTATCGAAAGACTATGATGCAGATAACTGCATTTTATTTGAACGGCAATTCATTTTGTACATTTTTTTTCTCTTTTTTTACTTTTTAAGTGAAAGAAAAAAACTTATTTCCATTTGAATTTTTCGTCTTTTTTTCGCTCATTTGTGTGTGTTGCGAATAAATAGTTAATGCGGCGAGAAAGCGAGATCCCAATACACATGTACAATATTAACAACCAGAGAAATTTTCTCAACTTCGATGTACGACAAATGGAAATGGAAATGGCTAAACCTTCACGAAGCACCAGTAAAACGAGTAAAAAAGCGCTCGACATTTTTGGCATTACAATTCAACGGGATTGCCGTTTGATTTTTTGTTATTGCTGTACTCTTTCGTTGTGGCCATTGCTTATGCTTGTCAGAGTTCATTTAGTTTGAACCATACCCAAAACGCAGTCAAACGAAAAAAATACTCATTCTGAATTCAATCAGCCGCTCTCTGACCTTATTTTGAAGAAAAATGAGCAAATATTCAAAATAAACCGACAAAAAAAACACAGGATATATTTACACACTTTTCCAGTCTCCCGTTCGTTTATTCGATCGCCAGTTGTCGTCGCTGTTGTTAGATTTCTCATTTATTAACATCATTCCCAACGCTGAATGCACCATAGTAAGTCAATTACGACGATCGAATGCTGTTGATATATCACGTTGTAGCTGGCTTTTCTATTGTTTTATATATGGTTGTGCATGTGTTTGTCTATGAATGGAAAAATAGCCAACCCAACGAGGAAGCATTTTTTGAATGGAAAATGACCCAAACGAAGCGAATTCAAATGAAATAGCGTTGAAGAGTGTGCGTACGAGATAAAAAAAAAGTTCTCTCATATACGCAAACGTAAAATCAATTTTCGGTGTTTATAAATTGATTGAAATGAGCACTTCAATGCAATTTACATTAAGCACTTCATTAATCCAACTGTTCGCATTTTTCAAATACATTCATTTCTCGCCCTCTTCCTATCTTCTCTTTCGCGCACTCGCTGTAATTTTGGTTTTTTTTTTGTTCAATTTATTGCTCAAACTTTATACAATCTCATTGATAAAGCTTCGCTATTCTATTTTTTTCACTCTTGTTCACTGTCGATGCATCACGTGTGTGTCTTACATTCGAACAATGAAGGGAAAAATGCGCGTTTTTCGTTCGTTTAATGGTTGTTGTTGTTGTGTTTTTTTTGTGCGTTTCTAGTTTTGTCAATAATTTGAATCGCATGAGATGAAAGAATCTTGGTTTGCGTGAATGCGATGGTGTGTATTATGTGTGGCGCTGGAACATTTTCTACCTATTTTCCGATTTATAATTGCGCCTCTAGTTCTATCGTATTGTTTCCAATTGGTTGTGAGTGCTGTTTGTTATTATGCGAAGCAGTTTTACTGCTTACCGCTTATTGATAATAATTAGTTCTTGGAAATTGACAATGAGTGAATGAAAATAAAATCTCTCGTTCTGTTCTTGCCACAATCAATTTTATTATACCGTACCTCATTCGTAATGGCAACTTCTGTTTTTTTTTTTTTTATTTAATTTTTTTATGTTTGTTCTTCACCGAGTCGGCCATTATAATTGTGGCAATTTGAAAATGTTAAATGGTAAAACATTGCGTTTCAAACGATAATTTAAGCTTCTAATTACACCAAGATGTTTTAATTACATGCGCGCTACAATTTAACAAAAAAAAAACACACACATATATATATATAAAACAGTTTGCAATTTATGCGAACCAAAAAGTTCTGATCATCTCACACACAAAGTCTGGTCGGTATGTGTGCTTTTTTATTTCTTCTTTTAAATCAACTTCCTATTTTTGTACGTTTCCTTTCGGAGAAAAACTCTTTGCATTGCATTGTGGGTCTAATTGGTAAACTTAGTTCATGGTTGGCATTTGTAGTTCAATGAACATGCACATTTGATTTGTGAAAATCGAAATATGCTTGGCTGGCCTTCAATTGATTAGAAAAATGTCTTTTATTCATTACTCAAATGAATTAAAATTTGAAAAATAACAAATCAAAATCAGTATATATTCCACTTCTTACTTAAGTAAGTATAATTTTGTATTTTAGTGACACGCACTCTTGACTTCATGCGACTCTTGAAAGTTTACTGTGAAAAGAATGTTTTGCTCCTTCTCGAGTATGTTTCGGTGTTGCAGATTCTTTGATTGCTGTTTTCATTTGATTCACACATATTTCATTGTTCGACTCGTATTTGTATCCTTATCAACTCCATCACTACTGCTTCATCATCATTTTTTTTTCGTAGAATGTTTCCAAACATACAATGATCAGTGAGATCGAA